CAAAACCACCAAAATGACTTAAAATTTCGTGTTTAAAATCCGATGTCTTTATTTTTGGTACGGCATAAGTGTCTTTCAGCATTATACTTGTTGTCATTACATATAATAAAATAAGTCACAAGTTTTTCTAACTTCATTTTTTATTTACTATGTCAAATTTTCTCTAAGAATCCATTTGATTTTTGGGTAGAAAGAAAACGAATTCCAGAAAATTGTCAAATGTTAATCAAGTGTGTTTGATTGATATAATTTTTCACCTAAAAATGTTGAAATTTTTTATATTTTAGTGTTCGTTTGGCTTTATTTTTTATAAAATTGTCAATTAAAGTGATATAATTTGTTATAATTGTCATTTATTTATTTATTTATTTTAAAAAGAGCAGCTGGAAAACCAATTTCTTGAAAACTTAGAAAAAGGTGTCACGTGGAGGGTTGGGTGAAAAACCAATTCCGTAGAAAATTTTGCCCATCAAACATACTATTAGGGTGCAAAACGGAATTTAAAGAGCCTATCAAACATGCCATAATTAAACAATCGGACTTTTTTTATAGTGGTAATTACACAAAACCCTAGATTAAAATCATGAATTCCAAAATCAAATATGTAGTTTCATCTTTCAAAAAGCAAATATTGTATTTTAATTAAAACTTTTATAAAATAAATATTTTACATAAATCTATATACTCCGATACATACACTACAAACCCTAATTAATTCCCACACTTTATCTCTCTCTCTCTCCCACAAACCGTCACCTCTAGGCCTGGGCAAAAAAACCGTCAAACCACCTAAACCGCCAAACCGAACCGATTCGGTTTGGTTTGGTTCGGTTTAGAGTAGTCAAATGGTTTGGTTTGATTTTTTGTAGACAAAAACCATGTTGGTTTGGTTTGGTTCATGGTTTGAATACCAAAACCGATGGTTAACCGCTCAACCCGCTACAAATTTAATCCATTTTTTTTCTTTTTTAAAAAAGAAGAAGAAGAAGAAGGGTAACTCACAGACAGAGTATGACTGTAAGAATCAAAATAAACATGATAACCAATCCAATCCAAATCCAATAAAATTCCACATTAATTATCAATTTCAATAGTAGTAAAACTAAGGTTTTATTAGCAACTGTAGACTATATTTACGATTCAATCATTCATATCTCCAGAATCATGCAGCATGATGATTAAGAATCATGCAACAAAATAGATATAGGACTTATAATTATTTCATGGAAACTAACTCATAATCAACTCTCAAGCAATACATTTTCTCTTGCTTTCGTTTTCCTTTTCAGGAAGAAAAGTCAAAAGATAAGGCACCGGAAGTTGATGCTTGATGACGACGAACTTTCGCTATTCTTCTACTTTCCAGAACCTCGTCACTAGCTTTTTTGAAACTTTTTGTTTTTGATTCAAAGGTTTCATCATTATCAAGATCAGGATTATCTCAAGATAGTTGCACTCTGACAGCCCTCTTTTTTGAAGGTTGAAAATTGTTTTTCTCATCCCCCATTGTAGATTAACAAAACAAACTTGAAGGAAAATTTGCTTCCTCCACAAGTTGGAAGAAAGTGATCTCTTCAGTTAAAAACATATGACAAAAATCACAAACTAAAAAGACATTATAAATGGAATCAAATGTTGCTTCTTGACCAAACAAATGCTAGGAAAGATATTCTAGGATATGAAGCAAATACTTTTGAAGGAGACAAACTATAATGTGAAACTACATGATCCAGATAATCAATTAGCACTCGCCCACATACATAAACAAGTGAAACTAATCATTAAGTTTGGCAATTGTTAATTCATTACAGAAAGTATCCAAAGATCATGCGCCAAGTAAAAGAAACACTCACATTTGTAAATCAAACTCAAAAATGGGGGAACAAGGAAAAAAAGAAAGGAAAAAGAAAGAAAAAAGGGAGGAAAAAAAAAAGAAAAAGAAAAGAGAGAGAACAATGTGTAAGAGTAACATCAATGTTTGCTTGTTCTTTATAAGTTACAATGCAATGTTATTTAAAAATTAAAACCGAGAAACCAAACCAAACCAAACTGAACCGAAGTGGTTTGGGTTGGTTCGGTTTAAGAATTAGAGTGGGTTGGTTTTGGTTTTAATTTCACTCAAACCGACTACTTTGGTTTGGTTTTGGGTTTAGGTCAAAACCAACCCAAACCAAACCACGCCCAGGCCTAGTCACCTCCCACAACTCACAATGGACAACCATCTCTCTCTACATTTCTGGAGCAATCGTCAGTGACTAGCAATTTATCCATTTTGCCAGTCATCTTTGCCCGTCGTCTGTCCATTTCAGGAGCAATCACTGGTGACTAGTAGCACATGAGCAGTATTTGCGAAATAGATCTACGATCGACGCGCGAGGTGGTGTTTCGTGTGGTGCCGTCACCCCCCACCATCCACTATCCATTTCAAGATCTAATTGCCGGCGACTAGCAGCGTAGAAGCAATAGTTACAAAGTAAAATCTACGATCGACGCTTGAATGTTTGCTGGCCACCGAATCTGGTGGTTGTGGTGATAGGGGTTGATGGTGGTTGTAGTGTGTGGTGGGTTCTAGTGGTTTTGGTTGTTAGAGTAGTGGTGGTGATGGTCTTTGTATGGTTGGCAGTGGCAGATCTGATGGTTTTGTATGTGTTGGTCGACGGTGGTGATAGTGGTTTGTGTGGGATGGCATAAGTGACGAGATCCGATGGTTCGGTTTTCATTGTTTTGGTGATTGGTTTCTATTATTGTGGTGATAGTTAGCTTGCAATGGTGAGGGGTTGCTGATGGTGGTTTTGCCTTGCGATGGTTACTGTCGATGGTTCTGGCGGAGACGGTGGCAGTGATGCTGTAGTGGTGATCACGTATAAACAAATATTTGACCGATGAAAAAAATAAATTATGACTAATGTAACCTAAAAATATATTAATTTGTGACCGTCTAATAAAACGGTGACCTATAAAATTTGTGAATTGTGATCGATACATAAATTGTGACGTATTAATTTTTGATTTGTGATCAATGAACAAATTGTGATCTATAAAATTTTTGAATTGTGACCGTAAAATAATTTGTGAAATTTAAAAATTATGATTTGTGATCGAAAAATATTATGAGATTAATTAAATTTTGAATCTGTGACCTTAATATATTTAATTAATAAAATATATAATTAATTAATTAAATCATTAATAAATTTTATTAAATATATGATTTTTGAAAGTTCAAACTTTTATTCTTAATTTTGAAATTAACCATACTTATCCTCTTACTTTTGAAATTTTCCCTTTTTAATATCTAGACTAGAATTGTTTAAACATGTAGCCTCATGGACCCATTTTCTCAAGCGTAATTCCACGACCAGCCTGTTTTATATCTTTAATCCTTGGTCCCGTGCAATGCAATAGTTACTCGGAACATGTGAACAGTGCCACTTTTGTTAACAAAAACTCACCCCAACACGAGAAAGTAAGTATTTTTATTTTTTTATTTTTCATTATTTCACCTTAATCCTGTGAAACTGGTGTAAGAGTTATCTTTATGGCAAACCTTAACCGTCAGCTCGGATGACGATGGCTAGCTTGGGTCGTTCAATTTAAGGTTTGGTAAATGGTTTGAGAAAGCTCGAACTCATAACATATAGCCAAAGTCGTACTTGTTCATTGAATACTCTAATTTTAGTGAAATTGCTTGGTCCTTGTTGAACCTTGAACATCTCAAATATTGCTGCGGGGCAGTGAATCGCCAATTTTGGGCATTGAAATTACAAGTTGTCACAACTCTACAACTGCACACATAATAAGATGTCAATCAAATTAGAAACCCACAATAAAATAATTTGATTCGATTATGATATGAAGTTCAAAGAAATCTTGATAAATTGTCCAAATTAACCAATGGAAATTCAACAAGCTTTTTGCAAAGCACAAAATCTAACTCTTGGTTAACTCTTGGTTACTCAATTCTCCTCTTGAGGAATATATCAACAAGGACAATTGCCAATAATGACGTCAAAATTGTGAGGATTATTTTTTAAGTCAACTTTAACAAAAAGGAGCCTTCATATTCATACAGAGAGATCAATTGTACACTTTTTTCGTCTCTTTTTTCTTCCAAACCCCCCCCCCCCAAAAGGGGATCATTTTTCACTATTTATAAGTAGTTTGACCAAAATCATATCGTTTCAATCAAATCAGCCAATTGGCCGAGCTCAGACTATATGTCGCCGATCTCTCCCTTAATTGGTTAATGAGGCCCGTAGCCATCACGTCACTGTTTCCTTCAGATAATGATTAATTGCAGAGGATAGGGTAGCTAAGACGGTTGATTGGTGAATATAAACGCTGCTGATGTCATTTTTTACAAGTGTGTGTGATTGAAAAGTTGATGTCATATATTATAAGGAATATGCAAGTATTATGTTTTTTGAGGTTACGACGACAATATATCGACCTGAGCTTTTAGGATCGAGCTCACACGTGTATGAGGTGGGTCCTGCGAGCAATCGATGTGAGACTGGAGATCGGTCCTCAACCGCCAACATTTCAAAGCAAAACTTTATCTTACCAATCCTATAGCGACAATGAGCAAGTTGAGTCGGCTCTGCTTGCAATCACCCATGCTCGATTCAGTTTGTTAGATGAATTAGTTTTTTAAATTAGTAATAGATCGCATAATATACCGTTGAATTTTATATTTAAATTGCTTTCGTTGGGGGGCCTACTTTACATGCTTCGCCTCAGGGCCCATAAATCACAGGACCGGCTCTGACCAAGCTTATCCCATTGATCAACGAGCCGCCTAGCGTCATTTTTTCAAAAGGAACAAATAAATTTTGTTATATACATTAAAAGAAAAAAATTAAAGGAGCTCAGCTAGATCTTTAACTTGATGCAGGCCAGAGGTGTCCAGGAAATGGGACCTGATCATACAATATGAACTCGACAATTTGTTATGCGTGTTAAATAATTTCATGAAAATCTATATTAATCCTCCTAAAAAATTATTAATAATTTTACTCGATAGTAGCAAACTGCACTTCAGTAATTTATCATAAGGTTGATTGCATTACAGCAGTACAATTTATAATACACAACGAACAACCACCCATGCATCCACTCCTAAGAGTAATTGGGAATTTAGCAATTCTGTAATTAGGGTTACACCAATAATCAATCTTCATAAATCCGGCACTCATCAGTCTCGGGATTCTCCTGGCAGAAAGACTCGAGTGGATCTTGCTGTAATTTCTCGAGCTTGAGGCGGAGATCGGCCTTCGCTTGGCTGATTTCTTCCACTTCGTCCCACGCCACCTTACACTCGTCGGAGGTCTCGTCCTCGCCGCAGACTTGATTCGCCTCCACCACCTTCTGCTCAATCATCTCCGTCAGTTTCTTCTCTCTCATCTGTGTGCCCTTAAATTTCATCGCCTTCGAACGAGTGCCGTCCTTCGAAGAAGGCATAATCATGTTCATCTTGATCATGATCTTCTTCGCGCTATTGATTTCTCCATTAGATGCTGATCTGAAACTCGAGTATGGATTCAAACTCATAAGCGTGAAAGATGAAGCCATGGTTGTAGTTGGAGATCTTAGCGTGTCGCGTCGTTGATTGTTGTAACTTCTATGATGGAAGGGTTTTGGCTTTGACAGGAAATTAAAAGTAGTAGGGGTGGTTGTACAATTACTTAACTACCCATGGTTATGAAAATTTGCAATAGAAATCGGTAACCTTTTAATTTATGCAAATGAATCCCAATATATAATTCTTGATATCTTTAAGTCCTCATCATCCTTGTAGGCTATCTACATTTATCTTATTTAATCCCTGTTTGGTAGGAATTAAAATTTAAATCAAAATCAATAATTAAATTTAACCTTATATTTTACTGGATCCACAAGTTTTTAACTACACATTTCGCCGCTATTTGATCTCGATTTTATTCAATCTAGATGTTGGTCCCACCAACTTTGTAGGATTTCTTCACATAGGCTTCACAAGCTAGGACTTGCTGGTTTCGTTCGAGCAAGGAAAAATGTACTTTGATATAGTAATTTTTTGGGTAATGTGTGATTAAAAAATAAGAAAAAATTTTGAATTTACGTTTAAAATTATTTTATGAGAGAATGTGTGGTTGAAAATAGCTTTGAAAAAATAAGTTCAAAATAGGAGATTCATCAACTTTTATTAATATATCTTAAAATCTGATTTTAATACCCATCAAATAAGGGCCTATTATTTAAAGTCGCAATGACACATTTGCTACACTTCTACTCGGTGGTCTTTAACATTTCATTATCGTCGTACATAAGCATGCAATAATAAAATTATTCAAGTCTTCGTTAAATTGTGACTAATTAGTTATCTTTATGAAAATGATTACCTTGTTATTAAACAATTAGTTATGCTATACTTAAAAAGGAGGTTGACAAAGTCGGGTAACAAAATCACATTCACACAAATTATTTTTAAAACAGATTTTTAAATTATTTGAAATCAGTGGTCTAAATTTTGCCAACACACTTTGTAACCTAACTTTGTACAAGTAACTTTATTGATTAAACAATAGATGGAGTATCATTAGATCAATTTTCTCTTTATAATTTCTCTCTTGTTCAATGGGGTTTTGATTTGCTTTGACGGTTTTGCCCCTGGCTATTCATTGGAGGTTTGTTTTTCCAAGCATTCAATTATGCCTATCAGGTACAAGGACGTGGGGTCCACTATAGTCTCTGCCATAGTACGTTTTCATCGAGGAACTGTTTGAAAAGATTATCCATTGAGCCCAATAACATCGAAGAAATCTGTTGTGGATAACTTCAAAACTAAGACGACGTTTGGACACGATTTATAAACTTGGTTAAATTAACATTAGGGTCCGTTTGATTGCAAAGATAGAATATAATTGCATTGAATTAAAAGCGAATTTTAGGAAATTGAATTACCTAGAAATTATTTTCCCGGGAATAGTAAATTATCGTATTTGATTGGTATAATTTTTCATGTGAAAAATGTTAAAATAAAAATGTTTTTTTGGTGTTCGTTTGATTTTGTTTTACATGAAAATTGTCAATTAAAGGGAAAGATTTTACTGATATTGGGAATGAAATTTATTTTCATTACCAACAAAAAAAATCAAGAAAATCATCTCTCTTTTGATGTTCGTTTGACTTTGTTTTATATGGAAATTGCCAATTAAAATGAAATATTTTTTTGCAATAATTTTGAGAATTTGTTTTCATTGCCGACAAAAAATTCAAAAAAAATAAAAGTTCAGGAAAAAAAAAACGTAACAAGGAACTAGAAAATCAAGAAAATTTCAAGTTCCAAGAAAATCAAGAAACCAAATTCCATAGAATTCAAAACCTATCAAACAAACAAAATTGGAAAAAAGTGAATTCGAATTCCATTTTTCTTGAAATTTAAACCAATCAAACATGGCCTTAGTCTAAATTATATATTCATAATTATTATTCAATATTATTTGTACACTTTGTAAGATTCATTACTTATAAATTTTTCGGCAAACAACCGCTAAATTATTTACCGTCAGAACTTGCAAATATATATAGTTTAATTTTGAGCAATAAGTCTAGAGAAAAAAAATGGAATTTGCGGTAGAATAAGTCAAATTATAGTCCCGTCTGATACCCATTTTTTTTCAAAATATATTTTTCTCTCTCTTCTTTTTAATCATATATTTTTTATTAAAATAATATTATACGTAAATAAAAAACTTTTCTTTATTTTTCAACCACACATTTCCTATCAATTTACTATTCAAAAAAACATTTTCACATAAAAAATATCTATCAAACACACTCATAATTAATTTAGACAAATACTCAAAGTAAAGTGTCGGTTGCTCGTCTTATATCTTATGTTTATTTTGAGGAAGGATCAATTAATTGAACTTGACCGTAGTTTGACAATTTAGGACTACATAGCATTGCAATTTAATTACATGTTATTTGAAGTTGAGATTAAAAATTGAGTTTTGTCAATTGGCAGCGATTTTTTTTTTTTTGGCACATTCTTACATCATTCAAATAAATGTGGTCGACTCTCGAGTTTCTTCATCACTGAATCGATTTAAAAGTCGAAATTTTTAAGTGGTAATGGATCGAGTTGAGACAAGCTTGAATTGTGTCCAAATTCTAGATTCGACTCGATCCTTTGGGTCATGGGCCTTATGATTGACTCGAGCCAAGATTTCCACAAGTCGATTCAATTTGAGACGCCTTGAGCCCAAATCGATCCATTGCTTGTCTTAAAATAAGTTTGAGTAGTTCATGGATGGCTCAATTTGAGATGCGCTCAATTAGGAGTGTCAATTTGGCTCGTTGACTTGAGCTATTCTTAGCTCGGCCCAAAAAAAGTCTCAGGTCGATCTAGCTTGAGGCACGGGCCAAGCCAAATTTTGGGGTATTGCCAGAGCCCGAAAGAGGCCATGTGGTTTGTCACGGGCCATTCTCGACACGTGACAAGCCGACCCTTAAAAAAGCAAATAGAATGGAAAAATGAAGTTATAGGCACCTACACAGCTGTCAGGTGCCTTTGTTTTATTTAAAAAATGTGAATCGGCTTGGCTTGATAAAGCTTGAGCGGAAAACTCAGAACAAATCTAGATTTTTTTAGTTGAGCTTTTGCTCGGGAAAAAAATTCAAATCATTTTTACTTGAATCAAGCCCGAATCTCAAGTTTGGCTCACGAGCCAACTAGACTTGGCTCGTTGACATCCTTATGTCGAGCAAACAAACTGTTTGGCCCATTTGCAACCCTAGTTTTTTTAAGGGATAATTGCAACTGAGGCTCTAAATCTTTCAAAAAGTTGCAAATTTTTTCCTAACCTTTCATTTGTTGCAGATATCACCCTAGACCTTTCAAAATGTTGCGGATAGAGCCCCAGTGAATGGTTTCCATCAATATTTCTGTTAGTTGATTTAATTGAATTTGACCACATATTAATCAATTATGAAAGGACAAAATTGTAACGTACCAAATTTTATTTACCTCTTACGTACGCCTTAAATTTTGTTAATGCAACTTTAATCATTAGCAAATTAATTGGTCCATGCCTACATTGTCACTATAATAAAGTTTATTAATTAAAATGATAATACAATATATATGTATTTTTTTTAAAAATTAATTATTTCCTAATTATTCATTTTTCTTATTTTTTTTAAATATTATGTGGGCCCAATAATTGAGCATAGTAGATATTAACAAAAATATATAAATATGGGTATCATCTTGTAGATCGTGTTAAATTACGTAAATCAGGTTTAAGAGAAATTTATTTTGAATGCATTTTATCAAGTTATTGTGGTCGAAACTAAATTTATGTAACCATTTAATATAATATTAATTATTATGTTCCTTTAGACCTCGGGGCATAGTCAAGTAGTGCAAAGGACAGAAGTGATGTTATCTCACGCCTTGCTGGCAGCCGCAGTGTGTGGGTTCGATTCCTGAATCATGGAATTGGACTCTTTGTAAGCGCAGTGTACAGACAACTCTTGTTTTCTGGCTTGTTGGGGCACATCTTGCGATTTACCTCTCTCACAAAGCTCTAGGTAGGGTTGGGCAAATCTTTCGAACCGAACCGACCGAACCTAACCCGATTCGAATTGAATCGAACCCGACGGCTCTTGCCAAATTAAATACCCGAACGGGTATTTGAATTGAGAATCGACGGGTACGGTTCGATTCTCGGTTCTAGACTAAGAACCGAATCTTTCTAATTTTTTTTATATTGAGTAAATCAAATTATTTTAATTTTAATTTTTTCTAAAGAAATTAACAATTTCTAAATCCAAAATTTTTGGCCCAATAATTTGTTTCATTTCTAATTTTTTAATTTTTGGCTCAATTACCCATTTTATTGTTTCATTTCTTAGCCCAATAAGATCCAATCCACTAAATAACCATAAACACCTACACTAAAGTGCATAACGTTATCTCGACTCTCGCAGCCTCGCTAACATTCCAAAACATACACAATCATTAGTCGACACTGTGACCTTTGATCGAAACTATAACCTTAGCCGATCGAAGTTTTGATCGTAGCGATCATTTGAATAAGATAGTCTACTAGTCTCTGACATTTCAAAAACATTGAATGTATCATTAGTTGTATTTATATAATGTTGTTCTAAATGTTAAAAAATTTAATTATAGTGTAGAACCGACTGGAACTGAACCGAACGGAACCGAACCTGAACGGTTCCATTTACTAGATACCCGAAAATTTTGGTTCGGTTTGGTTCTAAAAAGAATCGAACCGAACTGACCCGCGCCCACCCCTAGCTATAGGGGCGGAGCTATGGAGGTCCTCAAGGTTGGGGTTCAATTTTTTTTTTTAATTATTATGTTCCTTTGCATTGATTGGTTGGCATGTGTGAGATTTCACTTAGTAAAGAAATAATCAATCTTATCATTTTGTTTGCTTTGAATTCTACCATTGGTATACGTGTGTGTAAGTTATGAGATCATGTGGTGGTTTTTTTTCAAATACTTGGCAATTTTCTTTTACCCACCCACCAAGCACATTTATTTAACTTACACACAGGGTTATTTCATACATACAAAGTTATAAACTCTGTATACTTTGCTATTCTTCGAGTCAAGGGAAACAGG